GGTTATTTATAACTAGATTATTAGTGTTATTGAGAGATTTGGGATCAACAATCACTAAACTTGAAGACGTTTGAATGGAAAGAGGAACAAGCCTTGACACTACCAAGGTAGTTTCAGTGGAAGTATTCACTGAGCCTGAGAAAGAGGCTTCAGTGGTTGGAATTACAACATCTGATGCTGAAGACTTTTCAGCAGGAGTTGTTTTCGCAGAGCCTGAAGAAGAGGCTTCAACAGTTTTCTTCACCTTGGTTGCAAGAGCAGCCTTTGTGGATGATTTCACCTAAGTTGATTTCTCAGCCTTGGTTACTTTCTTGCTCAAAGCTGGTGAACCAGCTTTGGCGGCAGAAGGACACCTACTGGCAAGATGTGTTCTTTCACCATAATGTTTACACTTCCTAAAACTAGTAGTAGCTTTATGGCCAGGAAGTATCAGACTAGAAGTGGGAACAGCTCCAAGAATTCCCTTCTCATTGGTTCTAGGAGGAACCTTTGAGGAATTGGATTCCTTAGGTGAAAAGTTCACCTTGAGTTGTGACTTARATTTCTGATGCGATTCAGATTTCTTAGTCCCTGAATAAGAAGAAGCTTTACAAGCTGGAGGAATAGACCTATATCTATTAGACTTGTTAACAAGCTGAAGGAATAGACCTATATCTATTAGACTTGTTAGACTTCTAGGAAAGGGATTGTGTGACAATGGATTTACCTTTGTCTTTGCACCCAGAAATCAAAGGAGTTCTTTCAAGATGACTCTCAGTAAAAGAAGAGGACTGAGAGGAAGAAGTGTTAGGAATAGAAGAGACGAAGGTACCAAATTTGAGCATGRACCTGTCTTTAACACATTCTTCCTGATCATAGGAGAAATCTAGACCAGTCATTATCTTGGCCAGGATCTGAGCGTTAATGATCTCAGAGGCCTTGAGAGAAGCTTTGCACCACCCTTCAATGGTAGCTTTCTCAGCCTTGAGTTCAGTGATTGCTCGCTCACGCTCAGCGATAGCTTTCTCACGTTCAACAGTGATGGCTTGGTTTACAATAACCTGATCTTTAAGATTTTTCTCAACAGAGGTCAGTTCTTTGATCTTAGAATGGCAAATCTTCAACTGCTCTTGAAGATCAACGTTAAGCATTTCAGCTTTTGATTTGTCATTGAGGGCATTGTAAAGATCAACCGTCAGCGTATCTAGTGTAGAAAGACTAGAAGGGGAAGAGGGTTCATTCAGGAAGAGTATCTGAGTAGAAGAAGGTGATGGCTCAGAAGATGTAGACGCTTCAGAAGATCCTTCATCTGCATCTATAGCCATCATGAAGACGTAGGCTTTATCCTCTTGATCTGAACATGACTCGTCAGATGATTCTGCCCAGTCATGCTCTTCAGGATTAAGGCCTTTAGCCTTTTGCTGGATGTTCTTCATCTTCTTGTACTTCTCCTTCAGTTTTAAGTACTTTTCATCTTTGGTCCTGAAGGAGGAAGGAGCTTTAGAAGATGGCTTCGCAGTCTTCTTTGATCTGCATTCACCTGCAAAAATGTCCGGGTCAGTGACAATTATAGCAGACAGCTGAATCCTTGTCTATTCTTTCAGACTTTGGCTTCTCTCTGAGGGATAGCTGAGGAGATCTGCGAAAGTTGCTCTTACTGGCGAACCTCCTAAATGACTTAGTCAGGAGTGCCAGGGACTCATCAAAATCTGTTAAATCAGATTCTGGAATGTCCTCAGAAGAATCTATCTCCATGATGACCATGGGAGGAAGAGAAGAAACAAAAGGGGTAGAAGTTTCAACTAAAGAAGCTAAAGGAGAGCTTTTCATTTCCCTGGATTCTTTTACAAGATTCCTTTTCAGTTGACGAGATTGCTCATGGTTAAGAAGAATCCCGTATAAAGTAGAAAGATAAAGAGTAGACATGTCATTTGACATCTTGAGACACATGGAAAAGGTGTCCCAAGACTCAGGAAGGCATTCTAGAAACTTAGTCAAAGTTT